TACCGGAATAAAACCACAATGGACTCTTACGGAACCGACTTTCAATGTGTGAAGCGGCAATATGTATTTCTACCTTTTTTAAGGTATATTCTAAGCACTATAACCTTATGCACATTATATGTTACTCCAGAAAAAATAACGCATCGTTTGATATACAAACCATTTGGATATGCCTCGTAGTTTAGTTATTATTCAAAAATTTCACTAAATCTCTTCTCCTGTAAAATCGTGTTTTGTCGATTGTGGCTTTATTCCAGGCACCCATCGAATTGTATCCTACTATTATTATAAATGCGAAAGTTTGGATGTCTGGAAGTTTAAAATAAAGTACAGTAATGTTTATTTCTCACCAACATAACAGATAATATTATGATAAAAAACAATCAGGAAAAACAAAAAGTAAGAATGTTGGTGGGTTGATACCTGAACTAGGAAGATTCCTGTGTCTCAGGTTTGTTACTCTTTCACGCAAAAAGTACTCAACGGATTTTGTTGAAACTGTACAATATTATTGTTTGTAACCCAGATTAACATATAGGCTATAATTTATGCCGATCTGTGACACTAAATTTCACGCGGGTGAAGCCGCAGGCAAAAGCTAGTCGTGAAATAAATAGGAAAGTTTAAGGTTCTGAAACGTGGTCGCTTACTATGGGCCTCATAAGAAGGCTCAAGGTCACCCAAAGGGTAATGGAGCGGGCTATGCTCGGGGTTTCCCTGCGTGATCGAATCAGAAATGAGGAGATCCGCAGGAGAACCAAAGTGACCGACATAGCACGCAGAATTGCTAAAATCAAGTGGCAGTGGGCGGGACACATAGCTCGTAGAGACGATGGCCATTGGGGCAGAAAATTTCTTGAGTGGCGACCACGGGCTGGAAGACGTAGCGTGGGCAGGCCTCCTACTAGGTGGACCGACGATCTGGTAAAGGTCGCGGGAAGAACCTGAATGCGGGCAGCGCAGGACTGTTCATTATGAAAAACCTATGGAAAACCCAAAGGCCTCTCGCCTTTGTCCAGCAGTGAACGTCATTTGGAACGACGAAATAGGAAAGAATGTAACTATCAAAAATCTTCTCTAAGGCAGCATTTTTCCAATTTCGCAATGAGCGCGGCAATCACACTTAACTAACAGACTAACAGAGAGCATAGCGAAATCTATTTAATTAATCACCAATTTTCAAAACTCACGGAATACTTTCCAGGTTTATTTGTACCAAACGACTGGACTATAATTAAATTGATATAAAAATTTGGGTACATCTTCTCAAAAACAAAAGAACTGGTGCTAAAAGGGTTAAGTGACGTTTTGACATTTGTAGAGGGCCTTGTAGAAGGGGAGGCTATGGTGCTGAATGTGGATTAACTCGAGTGTCATAGTAACTTATTAGACTGCTAAGCTTGATGATAAAAAGAAAAATATTTTTTTCAATTTACATAGTCTTCAATAAATTTTGAATTTTGAATGAAGGTTTCAAAAACATTTTTTACTGAATTAGAATTAAAAAGAAAAAATGTGCGATAGTTCAAATTTTATTTTATGTGTAGTGGACGCATAAAGAAGTCCGAACTGTAGTTGTCACGTTGCATTGCTACGCGCCAAAGCAGATTTCCGTTGTGCTGAAAAAATTTAGTTTATCTTTCATTAAATGATAGGTATAGGTAGAATCTCATGGCAAACAAAAATATTGGAAAAGTGTGTCTTTCATATGGCAAATGTCTATGGCTTTATTGTCACCTGTCAACGTAAATCAAGTGAACTGTCAGTCGCTGCAGAAATTTTGTAATCTCTTCATGCCTATTTGTTATTTTTGTGAAAAAGTCGAAAAAGCTCAAGCAAGTCATATTGTTTTCAATGTGTATTGTAAAATAAGGCATAATTCAAAGTCAATCTTTGATTTTAAAGCGCGTCGTTGAGTTGACAGTAAGTTGGAGTGAAATTGGATACATTTAGTTTATTACCTAACTGCGTCAGAAGGAGGGTTTTTTTAAATATTATTCTTATAATAGCTGCTTTATCGGGGGTTTCAGGTGTACCTCACAAATTGGTGCAGAGGAATGGTGAAAATGTTATGACCATATAAATAAAATTGAAAAAGATTTTATCAAGTAAGATGTAAGATAGAATAATTGAAATGGTGGAAGAGCAATTTATAATAAATAACTCTTTATCTTGATCATCTATTGAAGAAAAGTGGAATCCTTGGAATCGTTTTCTAGTTCTGAATGAAGTGATTAGTTATAAGTATGATACATAATAAAATTAGTTACATAAAGTAATATACGATTTACTTATTTTTCAAGACATTTTCCTATTATTATTACTGACGGGATTGCTACCATGTACCTTAGTTTTGAGTTTCCAATATTTCGGCACTGTTGCAAGCGCCATGGTCACGGAGTAACTGAAGAAATTAAAACCAGACATCGTTCAGATGTGCGTTCAAAAGACCTGAGATTTAAAAAAATCCCACGTTTTGTTTAAACAGTAAGCGAAAAAAAAGTGACTTGAAAATGGAATACAAAATGATAAGGTATGGTAAATGATAAGTCTTTATCAATGAAGAAGCAGAAGTTCAATTTCATGTGACCTCCATCTAGGCTAGTTTCCATCGTCACTCAAAGTTTGGCTGCGGCCTCAAATTTGGGCTTAATTGAGGTATTTTTTGGGTGTGAGACAAAAGAACTAATGCCGTTTTATATCAAAAATTCATACTTAGAGGTAATTAACCAGGTACAAAGTATTTCCTTGTATGTTAGTCTGCCACTCTTTAGTAAGTCCCGAAATCCCCGCTTCGGCTCCCCTACTAACCATTCTAACCATTGTACACATATAATATCTTACATGCAGCTTTTCATGTTACTACGTCACATTTTCTAAATCCGCGCGGAAAATCGCTCCTAGCGGAAGAGCGCACTTTGAGCTTGAATATTTCAGTCATTTTTAAAGATATCAAAAAAGTAAAAATACAGTATTCATTCTATTTTTTTGTAGTTTTTTTTGGCATCTTCAACAAAAATTGTGCGCCATGTCCATTTATCCGAAATCTAATTATTGAGCAAATGCATAAAATGTCAATCCTAGGTACCTACAAAATCTTTGTATCATTACAAAATGCATGAAAAAAAGCGAGCGGTCGGGGGGTCGCAAAATACCCCCCGGTCGTGTCTTGAAAAAGGTTGAACAACACTGGTCTATGGTTTAGAAGCTAAAGAGTTTGAACGCGCTAATCTCAGGAATAAATACTGGTCTGATTTGATAAATTATTTTTGTTTATCAAAGTACCAATAGTCGCAGACTCGCATCGCAGAGCATCAATGAAAAATGTTGCGAATAGATTTTTTTTAGAATAGAATTGACTTTATTGATCACAATAAGCACAAATTATAAACAACAACAACACTAAACGAATATAGAAAATAGCGGGCCACTGCGTCAATAGGCTCTCGCTCAGTATTTATCTTGTCTTCCGCGAAAGCCCTTGTTGCGTGTGACCTTGTCGAATACAGAAAAAAATAACTACACTCGGCATCAAATAAATCGCACCTCCCGCGACAAGCACTTATCAAACGTATGCATCCCCACTTCCCACCAACATTGGTACCATTTGAAAGCCTAGTTCTAAACTTCATTTCATTAAAGGGAAGGTTTTTACCCCAAAAATGTGTCTTTACAAGGATCCAGAGTCACTTCTTCAAAAAATAGGTAAGTTACGCTATAGCCATTTTTTATGACTATAAAACTGTTAAGTTGGGATTAATCGCTATCCATCTGTTAAAAAGGACACGTGAGATATTTATTTGGTTTTATAACCATAAAAATTGGTCTAATTGATCCCAGAGGTGAGCCCAAAGTGAGGTCTATTTTCAAGTCACATTTATGGTATATGTTAATTATTTATTTGGAAATGAAATGTATTTTTCTTTAAGGATATTTATTGGGCTTTCAAATAACACCAATATTGTTGGGGTACCATAATTGTGTCAGAAGAAAATCTTTAAAGTTCGCGTCGCGGAAGGTGCGGTTTATTTGATGTTGAGTGTATTATCACGCGTACGAAGCCGCGGGCACAGCTAATACTATAATATGCATCATACATGCGAATGTGATTGCGTTTTCTGCAGCTTGACCTAATGTTACCTTGTATCTATTACAGGCTATCTGATTAGGTTAAAACATTGAATTAGTAATAAATAGTTGTGTGTTAAATGGACCGACGATGATGAAATCTTATAAACATAAATATTAGTCTTTGTTTGTAGGTATGAATATTATAAATACAAGAAAAACTAAACTAAGTAGGTACTTAAGTACTTTGTTTTATATTATTTCTAGAACTGAAGTGTGGTATCAGTAAATACCATATTATTTATCTAATTTATGTGACTACTAGCTTTCCGCCCGCGGCTTCGCCCGCGTGGAATTTTGTCTGTCACAGAAAAAACCGGGATAAAAACTATCTTATGTTCTTTCCCGGGACTCAAACTATCTCTATGCCAAATTTCATCAAAATCGGTTGCGAGGTTTAAGCGGGAAAGCGTAACAGACAGACAGACAGACAGACAGACAGAGTTACTTTCGCATTTATAATATTAGTTGGGATTAGTTGGGATTATTATTTACCGGTTATTTTATCCTCGTAATAAATAATAATTTATTATTGTGCTAAGTTTATACTTGTTCCTTGTTTATTCTTGTTGATTGTTCATTTGTTTCGTTACTTACACTATTAGATTTAGTTCTTGAAAGTGTCCGCTAGGGACGCTGTACGTACAATCCGTCATACATTTGGTGTAATTTTTTTAACGCATTCGCTAGCGAAGACTTATGTAAAAGCCCCCTGAATAAGCTTTAAAAAATAACTCCTTTTCTACTATTCTACCATAGGATGGAGCATCATCCCTTATGGCTTCTTATATCGTTGTATTAAGACCGATTTTGCCACAAAGATGAAGAACTTGATCTTCTGTCGACTATACATACTATAATTTTTTTGACAGGTATGACAGCAAAAATGGCAAATCCCGCATCGACTACTACGGCACCATGGTCCGGACGTACCAAATGAGTTCCAGCGTGTATCCCAAGTTTGGGACGTCTATTAAGGTTAGTACTACCCTTGGGTTGTCTGGGAGAGATCACTTCTCAAAGATCAGACCGTATAATTATGCCGTTTTAATAGGTATATCTTTTACTAGCGGCCACCCGCGACTTCGTATGCGTGAATCCCGTTTTTCCCGCTAATTCCCGTTCCCGTGGGAATTTCGGGAATTCCTTTCTTAGTGCACCTCTACGGTACCTAAGCTACGTCCCTTCCAAATTTCAAGTGCCTACGTTTAGCCGTTTAGGCTGTGCGTTGATCTGTCAGTCAGTCAGTCAGTTTCTCGTTTTATCAACCGACTTCTTAAAAGGAGGAGGTTCTCAATTCGACCCGTATGTTTTTGTTTTTTTTTTCTATGTTTGTTACGCGATAACTCCGCCAATTATGAACCGATTTGAACAAATCTTTTTTCGGAGTATAGGTAATACCTCAAGGGTGGTCCCATTTAAATTTAATAATAGAAAAAACAACCCCCAAGGGTGGAAAATTGGGGATGAACTTTTTTATACGCAATATCTCCGCCGATTATAAATCAATTTGAACGATTATTTTTTTGTTGAATAGGTATTATCAAAAGGATAGTTTCATGCGAATTTGAAGAAAATATTTCACCCCCAAGGGTGGAAAATTGGGGATGAACTTTTTTATACGCAATATTTTTAATTTTTAGTTTTTTTTGTGTTCACGCATTTGAAGTCGGTTTTTTTTTTAAAGTTAATTATACATATATCTTTTATTGTCTGTTTTTTGTGATGCTACAAAAAACATTCTACTTCTTTCTTCCTTACTTAGAAAAGATGACCACTGTCGGACAAAAGTCTTCCCTCATTTTGAACATTAAAAATTGTGATTCATCATTTCAGCCACACGTAGGGTTGCCAGGTGTCCGGATTTAGCCGGACATGTTTGGCTTTTTACGGTCTTGTCCGGTCAAATATTGGCTTGTCCGGCCTGTCCGGCTTTTGTTAGACTTTTTATGTGGCTGCCTTTCGGCTTTCTGTGGCTTCGACTTTCAACTGGCGAAAGTCGGAAGCCACAGAATAATATCAAGTGCACGCATGAGGATGTTAGGCAACCGATGATGATAGTACTCACTCGTGAGCTAGGACACTAATTGCATAGTTGGCATGTCCGGCTTTTAAGGTAAAATGTCCGGATAAATGAAGCACAGAGTCCTGCTTTTGTGTTTTTGGACCTGGCAACCCTAGCCACGTCCACTGCTCAACATAGGCCTCCCCAATGACTTCCACATCGCACGGTTGGTAGCGGCCTGCAACCTTGTGGGTGGACGTGATTATTGACCTGAAAATAGGAGACATTTTTCATTTATTTGCTTGTCTTACTTGCATATGATTTTTAAATGAATCATGAATTTCTTGATAATTCAATCTATTATCACAGATGTTTCAATAGTGTTACTACAGGTCATTCGCTCGACCTAAACCAAATATTACTCATGTGTGATTCAGAACGGAATTAAGAATGCTTTTGTATTGTAATTATAAAATAAATGTGCCAGATAAAGATTAAGGCTGATTTACACGTATTAAGTAGTTAAATTAACTTTTTAACTTAATTTTTCGGGTAAGTTGGTGGGCGGAGCTTGTCTCTAGACACGTTTTGACAAGCAGCTTCATAGTTAACAAGAGCTTGACTCTTGAACGAATAACACGGCTTGACTATTTAAATACGTTTTGACATAGGCTTAAAATTAAGTTAACTACTTAACACATGTAAATCAGCCTTTTTAGATACACTTCATGCATACTTAACACGATTTTTTACTTGAAAAGTCAGTCTTAATTGGGACTTACTTAGTTGGTTGTGGTCTGTTATTTGAGCACGAATAAAAATATCGTATTTTGTTATTATGATGGTAATCGTATTATTTTGTATGAAACAAAACTAAGCTGCGGTCGATTAAGAAATAAAATACGATCGGGATACGAGGTATGTATTTTGATATCTTGCCATCTTTCATAATTTGTAGTCAAACCAGTGGCTCAGTGCCATCTAGGGAATGCAAATCTCGCGAGATTAGGGCTCAAGCGAGATCCCGCGAGTTTATGAATAACAATACTGCGAGATCTCGCCAATTTCAAGATCTCGCGAGATTGGCCGTTTGTGTGTATTTTTGTAAAACACGATATTTGAATAAATTAGGAAAAAATTATAAAAATTATAAGTTTTTAGGATAAACATTTGTTTATTACCTTTATTGATCAATCTCGCTAAAAAGGCCGAGATCTCGCGAACGAGATTGCATTTCCTAGTGCCATTGGGCTAGTTTTTGACTAACATTTTCTTTTTTTATCTGTTCTAGATTGCCCCAGTAACCACGGAGTCTGTGCTCAACCAGCAGACCTGTCTCCAAGTGAACGGCAGCTCTGAAATGGCCATCGAGGTCCAGACAGTGCTGCCTGATATGACCGACTTCAAATATGTTGGTGAGTATTTACAATACAGTCGAGTTATAGATGGTTTCATCCATGAAGACGCGCCCCACCATTCTTCCGCTAATGTTTGAGTGTTATCGGTACACGCTAAATTATCCATGCACACGCACTCTACAATAATGACGCTCGGATTGCTCGGAACAAACTCCCCGCACCCCGCGCTTCGTGGGTGCAACGATCTATAACTGAGCACCTGGCAGCCTTGACGTCATATGGACCCAAACTTATTTGAGACGCGCTCCCCTTTCGACCATACAAAAAATTCCGCGCCTCATCTCTCCTCCAGAGTCTTGAATTATTTATTGGTCGTATCGAGCAGTCTGAAATGCATTCTCTCAGCGGTCGCAGGTTTTTTATATTTAAGTAGGTACACAGATAGTCCTCGCCCCCCTTTAAAGGTCTTTGCGCCCCCACTTTGGGAACCAATGGTCTAGCTAGGGTATCTCACCTGATGGAATGTTTAAATTAGGTTGGAAGAAGCGAGCTTCACTCGGAATCCTCAATCACAGAGGAACTGGCTATCATAACTTCAACTGTCGAAATGCTTGTAACATTGTTGTTATGGCGACAACCTTAATTAACCAATCGAATAAAAAATGACAATACTTGTGTATCGATAAAGTGAATACTCAATAGTTTATTGCATACCATATGTCGGTTAGTCACCGAGATCCGATTACAAAGCAACATAAATCCAAAGATAACATGTAATTATTAAAACTATAGTAAAAATCTAAAAAACAGACGATAAAAACTCGAACAAATATTTATTGTTCGCGCGTATTTTTATATGCGCTGGACGCAGGCCGCTACCAACCGGGCAACATGGAAAGCATTGGGAGAGGCCTATGTTCAGCAGTGGACTTACTATGGCTGAGATGATGATGATGATGATTTATTGTTCCAATAGTCGATTTACATAACAGTACACATACTTTATTCAGTACACAACAATTGTGACTTTTATGGACAGTGTGTCAAAGAGGAAATTGGGTCAAATTGGATCACATAGTCATAGACCATGTTACTCGTTTATGAACTGTCAATTTTTTCAGAAGGCCGCATATTACAGAGAGATTTTGAATAATTACTTTTTCTTTGTCATCGAATAGGTTCAGAAACCATGCTAGATTCCGACGTAGCAAAATGGCGGATGGTCACCACAATCGGGGACAAAGTGAACAAATACACCATGTGGGTCAAGTACAAGAAGACTTTGAGGGGCGACTCCATTCCAATCCCTGTTCGGTAATGTATCTTTTAATATTTTTTGTAGTTTGTGCTTGGTTTTGGAAACAAGTTATTTTGAACCTTAATGTCCTGTGTCAAAGTGGAAAAGCTGTGGAATTTTTTGCTGTTTGATGGAGAAATGGCAGTCCTTAAATCAGCCACTTTTAGCTTGACAAAAACTATAATTATAATGTTTATATTCGTAGTCTCTTGACTTTTACTGTACAAGCTTTGCTTAGTTTACAATTACCCCCTCATTAATAAAAGTTACACACTAGTTGAACTCTGGCTTTGTCATTTCGGATGGAAATGTCATTTTAATCCAAGGTTCATCCTAGGTGTAACATTTTATTAATAAGAGGGTTATTAGAGTATAAAATGTGTGAGGATATTTATTTCTTAATCATTAGCTCATGTAGTGTCTTCTGTAGGACTACGACCTTCTCCAATTTGCCAGACAAAAAGAGAATTTGGCCTACATTCCCCACAGTACTTATTTATTATTTTATGTTAACAGTTACGAGATGAAAGGCTTCAACTCCTTACTAGGGTCGCACTACGACCACTACTACCTTATGTATGACGACTACGACATCGACGACATTGATCCCAACGTTTTCCAGATTGACAGCAGTAAGTTTATTTTATACTTATTTTATGTGACTGAAATCATATCCGGCTCGAAGAACCAATTTTTTTGCTACTGTAGGACAGATGCTACCTACTACGACATAATTATACCCCAAGGTGTTCTAAATTAATAGTGCCAGTAAGTTTATTTTGTATGATGGACTGAGATATGACACGTCAGTTCAAATCTGGCTCGAAGGACCAATTTTTGCTATTATAAGAGGCAGATATCCGGCTCTATAGATCAATGGGCTGAAAATTACAGATCTATCAAGCAAAAGACGGGACTGATACTGATATGTATCCGGCTCGAAGGATCTATCTAAAAGGCAGGGCCTTGCGTAAATGAAAACGATTAGCAGACACTGGTCAGTTAACATAATTAATTTGATACGGGGGCAGTTAAAAACTACACTTTTTCTACTAAAATAGTAACATCCGTGTCTTACTAAAGGTAGCCTTTCGAACTAAGCGTCACAGACTTCTTTAGCTTTTAGAGCGTCTTTAGCTTTGGTCTTGTGCCACCAACGCCGCCTCACTAACTCGCTTCGAAAGGCTACCTTTAAGACCCAAGCTAAAGACGCTGCGTCTGTGACGCTTAGTTCGAAAGGCTACCTTTAGTTGAAATGGAACGCGAAAGTTATAATCTTATATTATACACTATATTTTGTGTTCAGGCCTCCAATGCACTTCGTTCCCCGGGCCCGGCACGCGGCACTACGCGACTTTCAACCCGATGAAGGAGTTTGTTCACCCCGCCCACGATGAGCATGTGCACGAGGAGTTTGACAGGTTATTTTAATTGACCCAGATATAGTCATTTACCCCATTTATCGTCATTTACGCCATTTATCGTCATTTACCCCATTTATCGTCTGGTCGCTGAGCACGTAGAATTTTGTCCAATGACCCTAAGCTACCTATCGCGACTGTGCGACAGGCGGCAGCAGTGAGTGTGCAAGTGCGACAGCAATATAATTACGCGCGAGCGATAAGGATGGGTAGCTTGGGGTCATTGGACAAAATTCTACGTGCTCAGCGACCAGACTTCAGGGTAAAATTGGCTAGTTTCCTGAAATTATGAAGATGTGAGATGCAGGCCAAGAGCTTCATTATTGTGGATAATAAATAAAAAACATTTGTGCCCGGTTATCACCATCCACACCACCATTTTTAAGTGACCCCTATGGTAACACAACAGGAATTTTGTTTTCATAGACGTCACTTAAAAATTAGGGATTGATGGTGAAAACGGACACAAATAGTACATTGAAACGCAGCAGTAGGCCTAGGATGCGCGCCACGATAAACTTTTATCGACGCATTGTATTGATTTTGCACGATTAGCCCATACATTTGTAGTCTAATATCATCAATAAGATTTTTTCACGGCACGCCGGTTGAACACGATAAAGACGAAATGGTGAATTCAGTGCCTCCCTGATGAAATGTCGAATTAAACTGCAATGAGATGGGACCCCTATGACTAAGTTTGAAACTATTTTCAGCGGTGTCCCCCGTCCGTAGATAAATTTGCCCCATCCATAGAGTACTACTACTGGTAAATTAATCTGCAAAACGTCGGATGATTAACCACCATCTTAATTATATTACAGATTCAAGAATAAGCACAACAGGCAATACGCAAGCGACGTGGAACACGCTAAACGGTTGAACATCTTCAGGCAGAACTTAAGGTAAACCTGCTATATCTTTAACTTTGTAAAGGACATTGTCAGAAACCGCCTAAAAAACCGCCAAAAAACATTAACCCATCATAATTATTTTCTATTTTTTTTAATACATTAAGCACCCTTTCGTTCTAATGGACACTTAAGCATTGAAAAATTAAATAAATAAGTCTTTTAACGTTTATTCTATAATACTATTACAACTTCCGGACGTTTTGGTGCGTGGCATGGTCTAAAACCTATCAAGTTCCATAATTTTTGCCGATAAAATCTGTACGAGGCATTACCGTACTTTATTGCTGGGAGTCCATGTATAGTGATGTTCCTGCGGCCATCATAGACAATAAAATATCGATTTTGNCGAACACGAAGTGCTCATACAATGCGGCGTATTTTCTTCCAGTCTTTAGTCAGGACTTTAGTCGAATTAAAACCCCGGTTGAACGTGATATAGCCGCACTAGAATACGATGCTTTTTTGCATAATCGCAAGACTTCGTTCCAGTGTCGACCGAATGTTATCACGATGTATGTGGCCCAGGGGTTACCGTAGCCGCTAAGGTTTGAAACTTCTTGCTTAAAATATTGTAGTCTTTGGCATAGACTACGACGGTAGTCATGGAGATAGGAGTTTGTTATCTCGTGTCAGATGTAAATGGTGAAAAGAAAACTCATGATTCGTGTTATTTTTATGCAATATGTAGGTATTTTATAAAAGTGGAACCCCGAGTGATCTCCAAAACCCATTCTATTATTATATACGATTCGGCTTCGATATCTATAATACAATAGGAGTTTATTTCATGTGTCAGATGACAAGGGTGAAAACAACCTACGATTCATGTTGTTTATTTACGTGCAATATGTGGGCATATTATAAAAGTGGAATGCCGAGTTGTATTTCTAAAACTTGTTCTATTATTTTATACTATTTGGCTGCGACTCGGCGTGACGACAATACAAAACATTTTTCGCGAATCGGTGTTCATACATTCACTTAATACATTAGACGCCATGTTGTCATAAACGACATATTATAAAATCGCTGTGATTTAATATTCTTAATCATTAATTTTATGGCAAGTGTCCATCAGGAATCATTGTTCTTTTACACAGAATCGTATTATTTCGCTTTCGGGTAGTAATATGTCAAAATCGTTGGTTCTTAGGCGAACAATGTATGGAGAACGAACATTGTCCTTTAGGATTTAGCCTAAATCGCTGGTCAGATCGATGTCATTTTTTAGATCGGTCTATAGTCAGGTCGCCGAGCACGTAGAATTTCGCCCAATGACCCCAAGCTACCCATCCTTATCGCTCGCGCGTAATTATATTGCTGTCGCGAATGTGCGACGGGCGCCCGCAGTGAGTGTGCGAGCGCGACAGCAACATAATTACGCGCGAGCGATAAGTATGGGTAGCTTGGGGTCATTGGACGAAATTCTACGTGCTCGGCGACCGGGCTTTATACAGTACTAGCGGCCGCCCGCGACTTCGTACGCGTGGATCCCGTTTTACACCCTTCATCTATCTCACGCGGTTTAGATTTTTTCATACAAATGATTTTTCCCGCTAACTCCCGTTCCCGTGGGAATTTTGCAATATCCTGTTGTAACTAATTGGTAACTCTATATGTATTATAGAATGCTGTTTGTTTTCCTAACAATAAAATAAATAAATAAATAAATAAACTAAGCTTTAAGTTTACTAAGGTATCTGCATGCCAAATTTCAAGCGTCTGACTAAGCGGTTTAGATTTTTCATACAAGAGGATTTTCCTGCTATTTCCCGTTCCCGTGGGAATTTCGGGAATTCCTTTCTTAGTGCACCTCTACGGTACCTAAGCTACGTCCCTTCCAAATTTCAAGTGCCTACGTTTAGCCGTTTAGGCTGTGCGTTGGTCTGTCAGTCAGTCAGTTTCTATTTGTATATTTAGATAGAGTATATTATGACCTGATGATGTTGATGATAATGACTCATTATCTTTTGTATAGGTTCATCCATTCCAACAACCGCGCGCGTCGTGGTTTCACTCTGGCAGTGAACCACCTCGCCGACCGAACCGATGATGAATTAGCAGCGCTGCGCGGTCGCCGGTACAGCGGACAGAACAATATGGGTGAGTACACAGGCGTCTAGCAATACTGGGGGCCCTCTAGCGATACTAGGGACTTTCTAGCAATACTAGGGGCTTTCTAGCAATACTATGTGCCTTCTAGCGCCCTTTAGTGATACTAGGGGCCCTCTAGCAATAGTAGGGGTTTTCTAGCAATACTAGTGGCCTTCTCGCGCCCTTCAGTAATACTGGGGACCCTCTAGCGATACTAGGGGCTTTCTAGCAATACTAGGGGCTTTCTAGCAATACTAGGGGCTCTCTAGCAATACTAGGGGCCCTCTAGTAATACTAGGGGCTTTCTAGAAATACTCGGGGCCTTCTAGCGCCCTTTAGTATTACTAGGGTCCCTCTAGAAATACTAGGCGTACGTGCAGCGCCCCCTAAAACCGTGCGCCCGTATGCAACGTCCCTGCACTGTAGGTAAAGCCGCATCTGGGTAAGTATACTTCAAAATTATGTAGTAATGTAAAGGTTCATCCACTCCAACAACCGCGCGCGTCGTGGTTTCACTCTGGCAGTGAACCACCTCGCCGACCGAACCGATGATGAATTAGCCGCGCTGCGCGGCCGCCGGTACAGCGGACAGAACAATATGGGTGAGTACACAGGCGTCTAGCACATGTAACGTCATGTGTAATCATAGCCTAGCACCCTCTGGTAATACAAGGGGCCCTCTAGCAATACTAACGCCCTTTAGTAATACTAGGGGCTCCTCTAGTATTACTAGGCGCCCTCTAGCGATGCTAGGGGCTTTCTAGCAATACTACGGGCTCTCTAGCAATATTAGGGGCCTTCTAGCGCCCTTTAATATTTCTAGGGGCCCTCTAGCAGTACTAGGGGCCTTCTAGCGCCCTTTTGTATTACTAGGGGCTCTCCTGCAATACTAGGGGCCTTCTACTGCCCTTTAGTAATACTAGGGGCCCTCTAGCAATACTAGGGGCTCTCTAGCAATACTAGGGGCCTTCTTGCGCCGTTTAGTATTATTAGGGGCTCTCTAGCAATATTATGTGCCTTCTAGCGCCCTTTTGTATTACTAGGGGCCCTCTATCAATACCAGGGGCCTTCTAGCGTCCTTTAGTGATACTAGAGGCCCTCTAGCAATACTAGGGGCTTTTTGAATACTTCTCAGCACCAGCCCATATGTTGTCCCGAAGTGGTGATAGGGCAAGATATTTGGGACGTGTATAAATGCTCTGTAAAAGGCCTAAATATTGAACACAATATTTAATTTGATTGATTTTCATTTACGTCTTCACTTGTGAATAGTCTAGCGCGGATTTAGTCCTCAAAAAGGTTATGATTGCATCACAGAAAAACCCTAAAATTGGCCAATCATTGCATAGATCTCATTAAAGTATTTCGATTTCAAAAGCCCGTGAAAATCGTTAGACGCTTAATAAGATTGTAGGCAGGCATGGTCATCTATACCAGGGTTTCCCAATTTTTTTTTGCCAAGGAACCCTAATTGATTACACTTTTCTTAGCGGAACCCCCGTACTACTCCGCCCGCACGCCCTGCCCCTCCCTTGTGCGTAAACAAGTCGGTGCGAGCGAACAAAGTCGGTCACAAAACGTGGGATTACTTGTTACTAGTCACTATTTGTTGCAGGACTTGAATTCCCGTACACCCAAGCAGTCATTGAAGAGGAGGCACCGAAACTACCCTCAGAGTACGATTGGAGGCTTTTTGGTGCTGTCACTCCCGTCAAAGGTATGTTTTAGGGTTTATTTTTGTACATAATAAACCAGTTTTATTTATTATCTCAATTATGATTAATATACGACTTTTTTTTGTATGTAGGTGAGGTACTCCGTGAGGCGATTTTGAAATTAAAAATCGTCTTTTATCTCTAAAAATGCGTTTTCACTTACTATTGAATTGGAAAATCGGTATCGTCGCAGATTATTGAACGCTATAGAATAATAATAATAAAAATCCTTGGACATTTTACACTGCGCTTCTAGTCCCAAACTAAGCAAAGCTTGTACTATGGGTACTAGACAACGGATATAAACATACTTAAATACTTTTTTTGTAAATACATACATATTATACATAGAAAACACCCAGTCCAATACAAACAAATATTTTCATGCACACAAATGTTTGTAATGTGCGGGAATCGTACCTGCAACCTCCGGAATAGTAGTCCGTTTCGAACCACTACACCAAACGGCTTATAAAAGCCAATAAAAGCTTTCGTCAGATACTCTATTCTGTTCTAAAACTATCCACAGATCAGTCCGTGTGCGGTTCCTGTTGGTCCTTCGGCACCGTGGGTTCCGTAGAAGGTGCCTTATTCTTGCACAACGGCGGCCATCTGATCCGGTTGAGCCAGCAAGCCCTCATCGACTGTTCATGGGGGTAAGTACTGAAGATTTTTGACAAAGAGTTACATGGAAGTGGAAGTACGGTAATGGGTTAACCTTTAATAAGAAAGTGGGAATATAGTTCCCATCTTATTTTAACTATTTTTAAATAGTGGGAATATAGTTCCCACTTTATTTAAAAAAATGGCATGGGGCCTGGCCTGATTTTGGGGATATTGAAGGTCGTAGTCGAATAGTTTTACACAAAAAACAATTGTAAAACGGTATTAACAAACTTTCTTCCCGCAAGAACTAAATTCAATTTTACAATACATAGGTATACAATACAACATGTATAGTCGTTTTATACATTTCTATGTTACTTTTTCCAACGACAAAGTTTAAGGAGATTCCCACTAAAATGTTTTGCAATATTAACTTAATGCATAGTTTCTCAGGCTTCTTGGTTAATTTTTACACTGTTTTTATCATTATTATTTGTATGCTATGCTATTTGTATGCGACGGATTAGCAAGCTGAAGTGGCAATGGGCAGGGCACATAGTACGCAGAACTGACGGCCGATGGGGCAGAAAGGTTCTGGAATGGAGGCCGCGTACCGGAAAACGCAACGTGGGACGTCCACCTACAAAGTGGACCGACGACATCGTAAAGGTAGCAGGGAAGCGCTGGACGCAGGCCGCTACCAATCGATCAACATGGAAAGCATTGGGGGAGGCCTATGTTCAGCAGTGGACGTCCTATGGCTGAAATGATGATGATGATTTGTATGCTTCCAAGCCTCATAAGTAATTAAAACTTGAAATTCTCATTATTTTATCTTTCCAGCTTTGGCAACAACGGTTGTGACGGCGGCGAGGACTTCCGCTCGTACCAGTGGATCATGAAGCATGGTCTGCCCACCGAGGAAGACTACGGCGGTTACTTGGGACAGGTTAGTATACAGGGTGTGACAAAAATAGCTTGACAAACTTCAGAAGAGAGTAGACTGTCCGTGGTGTATCTTTTCTTAAGGATTTATAACACTGGATGCTGTCAAACGAAAGCAGACGCAAACGTCAGTTTATGTTCTTTGCCCACATTGTCAGATCGCATCAATACAAAATGTATAGAGATTAGAGATTGACGTTCTTCAGGCTATGTACACGACCACTTTAATGTAGAAGAATAACAACTTTTGTTTGTCAATTCTGCGTTCTGTTACTTTGGTTTTCCTACTGTATTTTTATTGAAAATATACTAATTTTTCAATGTGTTTTAACAGGACGGATACTGCCACATTGACAACGTGACTCTGGTGACCACCATCAAGGGCTGGGTTAACGTTACGACCAACAACGAAAACGCCCTCAGGGTATGTGATAAAACTACTATCCTAGTTATTAAAGCCGGTGAAGTGCGAGTTGAAGAAGAAAAAATCTGTACCGTTATAAAAAGAGTATGGACAATATTTTTTTTTACATAGAGGAAATTTTGCATTTCCTACATTTTTACTTATTCGATTCAACTTTAAATGAAAATAAAAACAACAATAAATATACTTTTTTTTCCAGCTGGCAATATTCAAGCATGGCCCGATATCTGTGGCGATCGACGCGTCGCACAAGACCTTCAGTTTCTACTCGAATGGCGTCTATTTTGATCCTAAATGGTAAGAATTGTATTTTTTACAGTTAGTGTTTTGATTATACACATACTTTTGTCGAATAGAAGGTTGTCGTGTTAGGGCTCACCAGTTGGCGCCATTGTAGAGTAAGTTCTATCACTTTTTACTGGCTAAGACATTAGCGCCAACTGGTGAGCTCTGAAGCGGTAGGACTGTTGCATTTCGCTCGCTAGGATGGCACCACTGTAGGGTAAGGTCCTGTCACTTGTCAGTGGCGCCAACTAAGTAATAAACTTATAGCCCTCAATCGAAACGATTTGTCATTCTTATTTTTTTCCACCAGCAAAAACAAGATCGACGAGTTGGACCACGCAGTCTTGGCCGTTGGCTACGGCATCCTCAACGGTCAGAAATACTGGCTGATCAAGAACTCCTGGTCCAACTTGTGGGGCAACGACGGATACGTCCTAATGTCGTCCAAAGACAACAACTGTGGAGTGGAGACTGCGCCTACTTACGTACTTATTTAAAAAGAAAAATAAGTTTAATTTAAAAAAAAAAAAAAGAATTCGTTTGAATTTGGAAAGGATCAAGTCACTTTAGACGAAGTAACATTATTTTTATAATTTAGTCAATCAATTTAGAACCTTATTATTGTCTTGTTTAAGATAAAAGTTCTGAGTAGGCGCTAAATGAACTAGAGATATTAGAAAAATGAATTAGCAATGTTACTTTGTCTATGGATACTGAAACTTTTAGCTTTAATTGTATGAATTTCTGAACAAAAATAAACTATCTAAGATTTCACAGATTATATCATAGAGAAACCATAGATAATATCGCCGCCATGTTATAAAACTTCACAGTGTTTATTTTTAAAAGTATAAGCTTTAAAAAGACATTTCCAAATAATAAGATGCATAAGTTATAAGTTCGTGGTTTTGCTAATCGTACATTTAATTAAATGTATATGAACAATGTTACTCCTATTGTTTAATATTATATCATTTTAAAAACCTTCATTAATGTTAACAAAAAAAGGGTTAAAATACTACACTATCACATCAGTAATTAGTCAATAAGTAGTAATAGTTTTGAAACCAAAATAACTAAGAACTTGAAAGTTCGAAGAAACATCTACTTTTAAGATACCTTTAAATCTCATTTTTCATAGCGATCTGATTTTAAAAAAATGCACTAGAGTTTGTATAACAAAAGTACTAACTATTGCATTCTTAAATTAAAAAATAGGTAAAGGCTGTGTAAAATGCATTCCTTGGCTCTCATTTTTTTACATGTTAGATGTTGTAAGAGATTAATAAAGATATTTTAGTAAATTGTGTGTTTTAATCCATAGCAAGTTATCTTTTTTAAATTATTTTTGGACATAGATGAAAAAATAAAATGGTGGGAAATTTATACCCACTATCTTATTAAGGGTTAATGCGGCGGTGTCTCAACGCAGATCTTGCCAATTTGAACCAGCTTCCCTTTGCAGTCGTCCTGGTGAATAGTCTTGTCGTACTGTAAGAAAAAATAATAGTTTAAAAAACTAAAAACACGTTCTTAGTTTAAGATTTCCTATGGCCATCTCCCGACTGCATCATCAGGACCCTGGACATCATATTGCATTAAAGAGCTCGAAAAGACAAATCTAACGAACCCAAACTCGATGCGATTCCGCCGTTTCGTTTCAGGAGTTCCTATAGCCTCTTTCCAGTCCCATCATCAGACCAGCTCGATGATACCATAATACTGTTTTGCCAAGCTTCATGATGATACAAGAATTAGAAGTGCGTGTAATTCAGATTCTTATATAGTTACATATACGACGACCTACTAAAAGCGTGTTAAAATAAAAAATATTGCCAATCTAAAGTTTAAAATTAACTACTTACTTAATATGTGTTTTCGGGAAGTTCGGTTTTAGAGGCTAAGTTTTATGAAAGTTAGATTTTCCAAGAAGTTTTCGAAAAGCCATGTTTAGCGATGTTAGGGAAAGTCTGGGAAAGTTAGGTTTTCGGAGTTAGGTTTTCAAAGTTAGGTTTTCATGTGAAATTCGTGTGACGTACTTATAAGGTGACCCCCATATCATTGAGACCCAATTCTGGATATAGGCTACGGTACCTTGGTACCTACAAATATCCAATTTTTTTTAGCTTTTTAGAATTTTTTAGGTTACTAAACAAATGAACATCAGGAAAATATCCAGTATTGGAGAAAACAAATGAAATTCATCGAAAGATTACGTCATTACATTGAACCTACCGTCCAATAGTTCCAGTAAGAATAATAAGGGAGCCATTTCTTCGGTGGCTTCGTCACTATGGGATTGCCTTCATGATTGTAGTTGTAATCGTAGAATCGTGGCGGTTCCTTTTCATCTGACACGAATTTGTGCCTCAACACCTCTTTCTTCTTACTATTTTCAAGTACGTCAAGTATCGAATACTTTAGTCTTCTCACTTCGGACGCGGACTCTACGTTGTTAACGAAAGTATTGACGTCGTCTAAAATTGATCTAAAAGTCACTTTTTTGGGTCTCAATCGAAATAGCTTGAGTAGTTTTTCGTCTGACCGGTCATTTTTAACAACTTTATGCAAGTTACCGGTATTTTTATCAATATTCTTGCTTCCTTTATAAGTCGCTATGGGTTTAGCACCATGCACTCTCACCAAAGGCTTGTAAAAACTGTGAAATTTACTATCGTATTCATAACTGGAAGCACCATACCCGTGAGGTATGATTCTTTTCACTAAAACTTTCTTATCAAAACGTATTTTCTTTAAATCATTTTTCTTTTTCAAACCATTTACCTTTTTCGGCCCTTTCTTCTTTAAATCAAATTTTTCTACGTCGCTTTTCACAATTTTAAGCAAGTTTGAAATTAGGTCTGGGTTTTTATTATCATTTTTCAATATTGAAACTGCGCTACATGAAATTACGTTTATGATTATTAAAATAAACAAGGTTTTGTGTTTTTGCTTAAGAAAATTCATTTGGACAATTCTCTGTATGAATACGAAATCGAGTATTTCTATTGAATAAATTAATCAGTGAGTTAGATTGAGCGTGTAATTTTGATTGCCTTTTCCTAGATAAGTATTGCTTGATTTTAATAGATATTTTCAAATACATAATGTCTTAAGTTTTTTTATTCTGGTTAAGCGAATATTAATGTCCACCACAAACCAAGAAAAAATGCCCTCGCTGGTGCCTTTATGAAAAGATAAAAATACAAATTATAATCTCGCTCACAACAATGTCTATAGATAAGATTATGGAGTTATATTTAGTTCACTCAGTAACACCGCTAAAAATGTGTTCCGATATCTCCTTGGTACTAAGAAAAGCTTTTATCCTTAATTTTGCGGTGAAAAGATGGCAAGCGACGAACCAAGGTGCGCCTCCGTGCTGCGTTGACACTGACTTGCCTAGATTGAAAAATGTTCAGTACAGGTCCTATTCGAGTTATCAGCTTTCTGTGAGATGTGACGGTTAGTTTTTAGCCTTCTGTTCTCAGTTGCTTGAACTAATTGAGTCTTTAGCTACAGTAATTAATTAAGATGTACGTTTACAAAAAATATAGCATGTGTCTTTCTCCAAAGTCTATTTATTATTCTCTATACCAAAATTCATTAGATTGGATCAACAGTAATTAACCGAAACCGAAACAAATAGCATACAGTTAAGTAGGACTCTTTTAAATAGGACGTTTTGAATCACGTCTTGTAAGACCCGTACACTAACCATCGATATAATGACTTATATCGATGGTTAGTGTACGGGTACTGTGGTTAGTATAATGACTGACTAACATTGGGTATTTTTTATTGCAATGCAGCTGTCATACAATTAGCCGTGTGCGGTCCTGAACACGGACGACTAAGAAACTGCAACTGCTAGTTACTTTTGAGTTGCATCTAAGTTTCTACCATAGCGTCCGTTGAGAGACCACACATGACGCGACCAGCTTGAAACTTTCAGTTTCAGTTTCATTCATCAGAATCATCAGAAAGTTGCAGTTTCGTTGCAGTTGCGTTTCACCGTCTGTTCTGGGCCTAACATGTCCAGCTCAGAGTCATAAGTAGGACTAATATGCCTGCCTAGATATTTTTTCATAATGAAGGTAAAGCTGCAAGCTAACGGACTGGAATCTCGCAATGCAGGACAATAACGTCAAAATTAACTTTTAGTATAAAGTAAAGTAAGTTATATATTTTATATAACTTATACAAAGTTGTGCTCTCTTAGCACTGCATTATTTATTACCTGCTTCTTTCCTCTTCACTTTAGTATTAAGTAAGTTTAATAATTTAGTACGTAGAACTGATGGCCGATGGTGCAGTAAGGTTCTGGAGTGGAGGACACATCGGAAAACGAAGCGTGGGACATCCACCCTCATAGAGGCAGCAGGAACGCGCTGGATGCAGGCCGATACCATACCAAGTACCAACCGGGCGATGTGGAAATCATTAGACGTATACCTACCAGAATAGAATCATCATATCTCTTACACTATTAAAAAAGGAATCTACCAGTTAATAAGCTTCATCATCATCATCATCTCAGCCATAGGACGTCCACTGCTGAACATAGGCCTCCCCCAATGCTTTCCATGTAACCCGGTTGGCCCCTGCGTCCAGCTCTTTCCCGCTACCATTACGATGTCGTCGGACCACCATTAATAAGCTTATTTGGCACTAAATGCTCTCAATTAGGGAGAGGCAATCGATTAATCCATTCTACTGAAATATTTCTGCAACACTTGTCGCCCAACATTCATAAAAGGGCGAAGAGCTTTGGGCATAGTAAAGGATAACAGTAAGACATCATTATAGAGCTCCATATTTTTAAATAGCTTATTAATGTATGTCTCTCACAGAATGGACGCCCATTGGTGTACAAAAGCCTCAAGGATTTCCACAACGACGTCATCCTACGATTTCTAAATTAATATTCAACAAATAATAGTTTGGTTTTTTACGTTCCATGGAATGACCTTCTTCTACATTGACATAAAAAATTACAGGCTCTCAGAGTCTCAAAGAATTACTTGCATAAAAGCATGTACCCAGTCCTAGATAAATGAATATTGCGGAAAACATACCAAGCTGTCTAGGGTTTGTAAGGAAATATAAATGTGTCCTAGTTTTCCAGAAAACCAAGGCATCTTTCATAGCTTTCTAGACTGGTCGATCCTTCTAGGGATCGAACCTCAGACCCAAATCTTACTATTCCCTTTTACTGTATCCTTGATAACTACGAAATGATGATATCGTGCGTCGCGATAGCGCGTAACTCGCGCGTTACGCACCAGTAGCGCGGGGATCGTGGGGGGAATTGAAGATTGAGATTAAGGGTTTTGTTTCCCCTGAATCGTTATGGTATCGTCATAGAATCAGCCATTTTGTTTAAGGACACTGTTCGGGAAATATCAGAGATTATTTTCCTTATTTTGAAACGATTTGTTAGTAAAAAGAGGAAGAGGTGTGGAAAATGCTTATTACATTGAATTTCAAATATGCCTACTTAGAAAAGTTTCATAGATAGGTAATAATTTGGTACTCTTTATTGCACATCAGAATATAAACAGACAAATAAAAGAAATACAAAGTCTAAACAGCTGGAATTTTGGCAATCTTGTCTCTAAGAAGCGATTTCCTCCGGAAAACTCAGGGAAAGGCACTAATTAAAATAAAGGACAGGACTTCTATTTGCCTAACATTACTTGCATGCTGAAATTTGCACATGTACCTACTAGGTTGTTTTCTAAGTAAAAATAATTACTAATTATTGTGTTTATTTATAAAAAGGGAATTAACGTTTTATTCAGATGTCTGAAACTATAAATAGCATACCTACCTAAGCTTTTTAGTTTCTAACAAAAAGCGCTATCTAAACTCTACAACAATTATTTATTTATCAAA